AGCTGTAGAACAGATTATGTTAAATAATATTAAAAGCATATTCAGTGCTGCGGCATGACAAAATACAATGCACAAGAGATGCACAGCAAATGAAGCAAGATTTAGACAACATCAGATGCTGGATAGAAGTGGACATACACTTTTGTGAGGTGCAAGGCTTGCGCTCTTCAAGGTACTGTGGGTGGGGGGAAAATGTTCTTTGGAAATCTTTCAGGAAAGAAGTAAAGCTAATCTCAACCACTACCAATATGTTTCAAACCAGCCAACCACATTCTATATACGGAGCATATTTGTAATGCTGCAAAGCTTTGGAGTTTTACTCAAAAAGATTATTAAAATAGCCTGAAGTTTTGAGGCAGAGGCCCAGATGTCATCTTCTGGACACCAGCTCATCAGGCGGAACAAAGAACCAATTGCTCCAACTGTCAGTACAGAAGACAACATTCAGGTAACTAACACGAAATACTCCAGGCAGCTAGTCAGCTTTAAGCCTTGGTCAGAAGCATTTCCTAAAGTAGGGCAGGTTTCAGAAGCTCATCTGCTCTAACCTGCTCCATCACTGAAACACACTGTAAAGGTGAACCAGGATAATCGGAAAGATCCAACAATTAACCAGCCACGACAAAACCTGGCCTTTGCTGTGACAGAGAACTCCAAGATTCAGATTATTTAGATGTTCTGCAAGAGGTGCCAGTCTGCTTTTTGCTGCTTCTAGTCATCAAAGCACAAATGCATCAACCACAAAAAACTAACTTACAAGTAAGATTCGCTGGGAACACAAGCACATCTTAATTAAGAAACACAGTTCATAATGCAAAGATGGAAATCCATACCTGCCGAGGGACTTTCTTGCAAACTAGTGCAGACATCAGCCACAATTCAGCCACATGAAGCAGCTTTAAAAATTATCATCATTGAAATGTTATCAAACTGATGCTACTAAAAGCAGAGCTAAGAAGTATTCCTTGCAATACAGTCTCAACATTAACACATAGGTCAGGATTGAAGCATCTCTTAATGAGTAAGGAAAAAAAAATTTTTTTTAAAAAGCAAACAGTCACAGGAAGCTGATGCTATTCCTAAAAGGAATATGATGGTAAAACTCCCCCTCTGTATTAGCATGCATTGCTTAAAATCAGCCTAAATCTACCCGTAAAAAGCTCAGTGGATTGAGCAACTTCTCCCACACAGAAAGCAGAATCGTGCTTATCACTGCAGGAGAAAGGAGCAGAACCTAACTTCTTGCCAGTACTACTAGCCCCATCCACTGTGGCCCACCAATACAAAACAGAAAGCAGACAGACACAGGGGTTCATAACACTCAGCAATCAGTGACAAGCTGCACAAAAAAGAGCATCAGGTAGATTTCTTGAAGAAACAAGCAAGGTCTATTATACCCATGGTTGCACCCAGCAGCAAGAAAATACCAAATAATTTTTCATGTTTTAAATGAATTCTAAATTACCTTTTGATTTTATACATAATGAGATACATACTTTTATTGATAAGCAACAGTACTGGGCCAAGATTTAAGCAACACTGCTAAAGGAAAGCTGTGTTTAAAGAACTTAGCACATGAGAACAGCCCCAGCCTGCAGCATCCAGTCTACAGAAAGCATACAGTTGATAACAAAGTGACAGAAAAAACAACTGTGATAACATTTGTGATTAATTTAATAATCAGGGTCATCCACACATCAGTAGTTTCACATTTCCAGACGCAATGACGACTAAAAGGAAAACTGGCCTTCAAGAAGGAATGTAATGTGCAAAACAAGAGCTGTTTTGACTTGCTGTCTTTCTAAACCCCCAGTTTCCCTGGCTTTAACACACTGGTCAAAAGCACAAACACAAACACCTGCTGAAAAAAACACAGTCTCAAATGGTGTCATCAGTAGACAGCTATGATAACCACAGGTGGGATGTAAGAGACTATGAGTTTTTGGAACAGAAATGGTACAAATTGAGAGATAATATGCAAAGGCTTTTGGCAGGAGATCTGTGTGTCTTAATAAAAAAATAATTCTGTGATGTTTTGCAAGAAAGACTTAAAGACAAATTCACACTGACAGACCTGCAAGACAAATGCAATGCAACAGTTTTCCTTAACTACACACAAATGAAAACCAGCCAGTTCCTTTTGACTGTACTTGTGTTCAAGCTATAGGAATACAAAGTAACCTATACAAGATGATGCAGAGACAGATTTTCAGTTCAAAGAAAACAAGTGTGAACCATCAGGCTATGAACTGCTAATAGCTGAAGTTGATAATTCGAATTGTACTTCTGGATCACGTAATTCAATAGCAAATTGAAGAGAGAAAGAGGAGGTCTTGCAGAGAAAGGATCATCAAAGCTGAAGCAACAACAGAGATAAATACTCTTTAAATGAATCACTGAAGATGATTCATGAAGAAAAAAGGCAAATAAAAATAAGGAGAACAGAGATGACAGTCAAAAGGCTACCGAGAAGCCAGGTTTTAAGCATGTACTTGAATGTGTAAGAGGCAGCCAACAGTAAAGAACAAAAAGATACAATCCTTAACCACTACTTCGGACAAAGAAGGCAAACAAGTGACAGAAACAAACCTGGAAAAGGTCTATGATGGAGCTGGATCCAAATTCTGAAAGAAAAGAGTTCTAAAGTGATATATTTGATGGGATTAGAGATAGAAAAAAAAGCAGAAGCAATAGCTAGAAACAAAAGTGTATTTAAAGAAAGAAGTAGCAATAGGCAACTCCCAACACACAACGGGACTACGACAGATTTATCATACAAGCAATCGATATTTTCTGCAACTACAATATGGTTACGTGGAAAAACGTTTTAAAAAGATACTGAAGGCCTTATGAAAACATTGGAGTAGTAAATCGGTGCTAAGGGATTATGCAAAATAAGTATGGTTAGGAATTGTCTGATCGCTGCCAGGCAGTCCCAAGCAATCGGACCGTTTCTGTACAGCCCCCAGAGCAATTGCAGGCTTTCCCGGTAAACATTATACGATTAAACCCAGCGATTTAAGTAGTGTTCAGCCTACTCAGGACACCACACGTAACAGAGCTACCGAGGCACAGCAACCAGGCGAAGGCAGACTCTCTACGACGCTTTTAAAGTGTAGAAGCTCCAGCACACGATCCGCCCGAGGCGGCGGGGCCAGCCCGGGCAAGGCCCGCGGAGAGCTGTCCCGCCCCGGGAGGCCGGCCGGAGCACTCTGAAACGGCGGCGGGCGGCTACAGCCCCACTCCGGTCCCTCACCGGGGCAG